GGGGCGCGCCGCTCCGCGGAGGCAGGCGCTGGGGGCTCTCCTGCGCCCAGCAGCTGCGGGAGCTTTGCAAATTGCAAGGAGGCTTTTGCAAAGCTTGTGAACCCTCCTCTCCCCGAGCCAGCGCCCCTCCTCTGCAGCGCTGACGGTACAACGATATAATAATGATGGGTGGCTGAGGCTCGCATTTGAACTTGCAGGCGAGCTCCCTTTGCCCACAACTCGGTTCAGGCTCCGCAGCTCGGAGTCAGGTGCTCGCCGGCGGGGAGGGAGGGGAGACCGAGCTCTGGGAGAAGGGGAGACCCCGGAACCGCCGTCTCCTTCCAGCACTAACGAGGGGATTTACTCTTTCATGCGGCCACTGGGATCTCTGGACTAGCCTAGCCACCACGTTGTGATTTTTTGCAATCTCTGCAATACGCTACCTTTTAAGGTAACTATAACTCTTTTAATGCGGGTTGGTTTTTTTGTGTTTTCTGTTGGTTTTTATTTTTTTTTTCTTTACATATGATTACCAGCAAACACCTAGTGTAAGATTTAAAACGATTGTTTTGCTGCTGGTACCTGTAAGGACAAAGAGTTGAACTGCAAACCTTAAGAGGGAGAGAATAGCGATGATTGGTGAATTTAAACAACCTGGGGTAAGTTCAACGACACGCGGGGGAAGAGGAGAAGGGATGCTCGGGGACCCACAAAAATCCCCTGGTACGAAGAGGAGAACAAAGAAAACTAGGAAATAAAAGACTTTGGGGTGGAAGCCCTGACAGAAGTCTTTGGTACTGGTTGTTTGAATGGCCGGGAAGGTAGAGCTGCACCTTGGTGTGCGACGGGGCTCAGGAGGGTGAAAGGAGGAAGCTGTTTCGTATGGGTGTTAAACACACAAAGCGCCCGTGTGGCAGGAGCGACAAGAATGGACCTTTCCTCCGGCCACCAGGTTTTCTTGCGCTGGGAAAAGCGTGTGCTCAGTCTCCTCCGCTCTTGTGTGTTCTCCCCATCCCTCCTTTTTTTTTTTTTTTTTTTTTTTTCCTTTCTCTCCTTCCCCTGATGTTCCTGGAAAGCTGCTCACAGGGCAGAGCGGGGCTGAGGCGCTCAGACAGCATCTCTCCAGGGGAGACGGAGAGCAGGCGTCCTCTGAGCCACATTTTCGTTGCTGAAAGGGGGGCGGTGGGTGAGGAGGAGGATCACAAGGTCAGTGGAGCAAAACGCCCCCTTTTACACCCACGGCCAGCTTCTCGGGGCACGGGCACTGCCTTCCCCCTCCGCTCCTCGGGATTTCGCCTTTGTTTTACAAAGAAAAAGTGAGAGCATCGTGGAAGGAATTAAGGGAGTTTCGACGGCGGGAAAAAGCGGGTGGGTGTGTGTGTGTGGGCGGCATCGGCAGCGGGCAGGGGTCCCCACGGCAGAGGATGGGACCCCGCGGGCAGCCTCCATCCGGCCCCCGCCCGGGCGGCCCCCAGGCACCGTCCCCACACAAAGGGGCGACGGGGAGCGGGCGAGGGCCGGGGCCAGCCCTCATTGTCCCCCTTGTCACGTCCTCCCGGCCACCCCCTCTCCCTCCGGGCTTCGGCTTTCGGGATTAAGCCTCGATGGCTTTTCTTTTCTTTTTCTTTTTTTAAAGGAATGAGGGAGGAAACGTGTTGCAGAAGCCTATCCCAGGATGGAAGAGTGTAAATGTGGGGTGGGTTTTGGTTTTTTTTTAGTGGATTTTTTTTTTTTTT